TTACCATTTATAGTCCTGGTTCTGTATTTCAGTTGGCCATTAGGTTCAGTTGTGATCCACTGTATTTCTTAAGTTTTTTCTGCAGAACTGTTAGGCATACAGTTGCTTCTCACCCTGGATTTGTACAGTTTTAACTCTTCCTACCTAAATGTAGTACCCTGTGCCTGTCTTGAGCAGCACACTGTTTGCTGGCCCAGGCCAGCATTGAGATCATGCAATGTTATCCTGGCTTTGGTTTTCAGTGCAAATGTCTCAAGTGCCATTTCAGTTTCCACTAAAGTGAAATTTCTGTGTACCGTCAGTATTCATAAATACATTATTTCAAATTCTGTGCACATAAAGTGAACATACAGTGTCCACATGTTCACATTGTTAGGAGGAAGCTTATTATGCATTTCAGCTCGTAGTAGGTGAGACAAAATTACTTTTACTAAGGAATACAAATTTTTCTTAATGAGTATTTGAAAGGCCTACAGATTACACAGTACTTTTTTCTTTCATTTCTTTATCTTTCACCTACCTTCCTCCCACATATTCTAGACTTCTATTTGCTTCTATTAGATTGTTTTCTATTTTCAAGTTCTTCTGCTTGATTATTTCAAAATAAGGGTTTTTTTTGAGTAGGATTGCAATTGTATTCTGCTCATCATGAGCTATTTATTGTTCCAAAGGTGGTTTTTCCTACTGGGTAAAGTGTATGAGAAAAGCAAAGCACTCAAGCTATTTCTACTGTACTTTTTTTCTGGTCCCAAGCAGAAGGCATGGGAATCTTTTCTATGAAGAATGCATTACAAATCTGCAAGGTGCATTTTATAATAAAATTTCATGTTATTTTTCCTAAAATAAACAGAAACTGTCACCATTTTCAACAGGTACCATATCAGTGCAGAAATGGAATTTAGATTCAGTTTCTCTCCATGTTTTATTTCCAGAATATCAATTGTTGTGAAACAGAGGCACTAAAAGGCAGTAAAAGAAGTGGTCTGTGGAGCTATAAATGGGCTTTGCTTTCCCTATAGTAATGAGAAGTTATTTTCTGAAATTATTTCTCTTCCTTCTGGCTTTCTTTTGTGGCTCAGTAAGCTAGAAAATAAATGAGCAGAGAAGCCAGTCTTTAATGTATCCTAGTACTTTCAATTCTTCAAAAAGGAAGGAGTGCTTCAAATTGAATCCAGGGCAAATGCAAAGCTACCCAAATGTATAAAACACTGATATTGTATGTTCACTGTCATGAATGTACTTAGAAGGGCCTTGGAAAAGACTTAGAAAACCTGCCTGCTTAGAAAGGCAGGCTGCCAATAACTTTGTAGTTACCTTTGACAAGAAATTCAGCAGAGACCGGTTCATTAAGCAGTTACGGCATACACTAACTACTGTGGCCTTCAGGCTTCAGAGGAAGAGTTTACTTTTGTCCAGCTGCGGGGTGCTTGACGTCAAACCATGGTACTAAAGGGCATCATAAACAGAGATCTTGCACAAAGTCCCCCAAATTCCTCCAGAGACTTCCTCCTTCATCTCCTTTTCTCTGCACTCCCTCTGAGAGATGGGTAACTCTTACCTCCTCCTTGCAGGCATAGCAAGGAAAGCAAATACACTCTGAACAGGCCATGTGTGTAGACTGAAATAAGCTCTGTGCAGCCAGAATGGGCAGCTGACGTGTTTGAGCCTCTGGAGAGCTGTACTTGCTGGAGCACTGCAGGAGGACACCTCCCTGGCCCATCCATGTTCCCAGGGAACAATATTGTAAGGCAGGGCACTGTTGTCTCATGCAAAGCTGCATGCATGGAGCTAATGCGTGCTGGTAACACTTGTGGTGCTAGAAAACGCCTGGCTTTTGCACCTTTTGTGCAATCCAATTATATTTCATTAGCTTTAGGCAATAATTGTTATCTCCATACAGCATATTCAAGTTAATTCAATTTTGTAGGAGGCAGGGGGGTAAAAATAATGCCAAGATATTATCACAGATTGTTCCAGAACTATTGAGAAATTGCTATTCTTTAATTCTTCACTTTGTTGTACTTACATTTTTGTCACCTACGTTTTGTATGTAATGTTGTCACTTACATTTGTACAAAATAGCAGTAAAATTCTGCTACTAAGCTCCTGATCTGCACACGTATAATTCCCCTTGCAATATTCCTCTAACAGGAATTGCCATCATCTTTATTTATTTAAGGCAGAGTTGGGCCCACTGTTCTTTACTAGAATTCAGAGAACAGCCAAGGTGACAGCCAAGAAAAAAATTAGGCAGTGCATTCCCATAACCCCTTGCGCTGTGTTCAGAGCAAATAACAATTTAATTTGCATAGACAGATTCGCTTTGTTTCTGGAAAGATAGCAAATCAACTGTGATAGCAAAAAGGTGTGGTGGACAGGAACTGACAGTTCTCTCCTCACTTTCTTTTGCTACTTTGGGAACTCTGGGAGCAATCCTGTCCCTGTGGTTTGTAACTGTTTTTGCAAAGTCTGTACACATACCCAGACTCTGGTACACACACAAAAAATTTGTACGTTGTCAGTTTATGCCAGAATCCAGCATTCATCCTGAGCAGTACAGAGTATTACCACTCATAGACCAGTCCTGGAGTCTCTTTCCAGTGGGTGGTAAAATGCCATTCTTCACAAGAAAGTTTGGGACCGGCTATTCCCACCCTGCTGTCTTTTGTGGCTGTTTTTGCTCTCCTCCTCCCTTGCAGTATGATGCTCATGCATGATCTATTTTTGACCATGCACTCTGATTAGATCATTGTGACCGAAGCAGGGAACAGACTTGCTCAATTTGCAGCATGGCAGCATTTCTGTCTTTGGAGGTGAGCAGAGCTGGCTGTGAGACATGGGTTTTGGATCCTGTGAGGCACTTGGATCAGATTTTACTCAAAATCTGTATTGGGAACAATGTAGGAGCTGAAGCTACAAAATTTGGGATACAAAATTCCTTCATTTTTCAGCTCTCTGCTTAGCTTTGGCTTTTTTCCCACCTATATGGTGGTATTTCTGCTGACAAGCCATTAAATTTCCTAGTCCTTCATACATGCTCCCTTACAAGGATTTCCCTGCATCTCCCTGTAAATTAGGTTTGCACCAGGCTAAATAAAAACTTATTGTGAGTGCCACTTATCAAGGAAACAGCAAGACTAGAGTGATCAGCCTTGTGGAAGCTTTTCAAGAAGGGTCATGGAGAGAGCTCGGGAAGGCAGAAGTTGTTTGTAGTGCTGGAAAATGTGGTTTCAGCCAAGCAGAGAGGACAGAAGCTAAGTCAATGGCATCAAGAGTAAAGCTGAACTGGGGAGATTGCGGCACTTGGAGATGCTTGAGAGGACAGAAACAGGTCATCGGCTGAAGAGTTGGTGTCACTGAAAGCATTTTGGTTTTGGAGCCAGACAATGTAAGCAGTATGATTTCACTGCTGTGTACATACTGCAGCAGAAAATAAACCCACCTCAAAGCATGAAAGCCAGAGCTAGTGCCAAGCTAGCTCATTTAGCTCTCCTTACTAAACAGACCAGCCAGAGTAACTCCTGAGCTGCTGGTTTTGGCTTTCGGGCACGTCTGGTTGCCTGTACTGAGCTGCAATATTTTCAGCAGATGTTCCTTAGCAATCACAGTTAACCTGAAATTCTCATTTAAAGAGTGCAGTATGTCACTGAAAGGTCCTAAATTGTACTTGAGAAAGCAAAATGCATTCTTTGATTAGGGAGTACTTATGTGACACTGTATAGGATTTTTTAGAGAAAATAGTTAATATTTACAGCTTCATAAACAGTAAGAACCTTTGGTGTCTTTTTTTCTTTTATATTTAAATAGGATTTAAATGGAATATAGCTTAATTTTAAACTGTTGGACGTTTTTGGATCTCTTTCTTCTTTGAACTTAATAGAAAAACACTTATGCATAAGCTGTAAATTGAATGGTCTAAAATTTTACGAATCAGTCTTCTATCTCTGAATTTTCTTACAACTGTTGAAGCCTTTTGGAGAGGATTCACTTTATTCATCTATCTACTTTGCAGCAGGGGCCTATTGTCCCTAAGTAACATTTGGTATTCGATTATAAGTTTGTGACTTAAAGCTGTTTGCCAGCAAAGATTGTTATTCTTCTTTCTTCCTCACTTTTTCTGCAATTCTGTGAATCCATCACTTTCTGACTGTGAATATATGAAATAGTCAAAACAAAGAGAGAAATAACTTGAAGAGGTGGAAGGCTTTATTTCCATGCCATTAAAAGAACCTTAAATTATGTATCTTTTTTTTTTAGTATTAAATAAAAAGTCATCTGCTATTTAGGAAAAAAATAGAGAAGACAGAAAGAGGATCATCATTCTGAGGAAAGAACCACCCAAACCCCTTTTGTTTCACCTCTGAAATCCCATTCTATTGTTTAAGATAAATGTGCCAGAGGAATTGAAGAGCTCCAGAAAACATTTCAAATGTGTAGAGAGAAAGTGAGCCTTGCTCGGACAGGAGATTTGCTGATTAGTTTCTCTGGCTGATTGTGCATTTAATTTGCATTTTCTCTCAATCAGTTACCTAAATATGTGCCTTAAAACACTTCAGGATGTATAAAGGGATCCTGTCTGGAGACATCCTGGTTTGCTATTTAAAGTCACTCCCTCTTCTGTTTTAAGAGATTTTCTTTTCCTCTGTTTATCTTCTAGAGCAGGTAGACAGTGGGTCTTCAAGGCCCTGGGGCTGCAGCCAGCCTTTCAGGAGCTCCAGAATCCTCCAGTCTACCTCCTAAACACCTAGAGGTTTCTCTGTGATTAAAACCCATTTATTATTGGGGGTAACCCAAATGTGCCTAATTTGCTTTTTTCTCTTTTCTAATTTATTTTAATTTGAAAGCAGACACCATTCATCCTGCAGTACCTGTGACCTTTCCCTGCTACAGAGTCAGAGCAAAAGTGTGGCAAAAAGTTTTGAAAATTGCGATACGGTAACTTTTACATTGGTAGCACTTAACAAGTCTGTGAAGTGTTGTTCTGTCTTTTTCTCATGCAGGCTGGATTGCCATATTGGGAGCCATTTGGCTGCTGGTGCTAGCAGACATCCATGATTTTGAGATGATTTTGAACAGAGTTGAGTGGGCAACCCTTCTTTTCTTTGCAGCATTGTTTGTTCTCATGGAGGTAAGATACTCTGATTTCTAAAGCCTGAAGAGTTACAACTGATTTAAAATGTGAATTATGTTCCTGGGCAGAGGCCTCCTGCAGATTCAATCCCACTGGAATATTGTAGATTGAGTGTAGTCACGGTAGTACAGAGAGAAATTGCAGAGTGGCAGAAGTAGGCTGGATCTCTGGTATCTAATTTTTCGCTGTAAGCTTTGTCTCACTCTCTCTCCTTCTGCTGCATTTGCTGAATATATCTGACACAATCATTTTCATATAAGTGGAATTTTAGTTTCCGGGTTTGTTGGCGGTCTATGTGTGCAGATAGCTTATATGTATTTATGTATTCGTTTTGCAATTATTTAGACCAGTGATAGGAAAAATAAAAGGACAAGAATAAACCAGAGTTGAAGAATGTTCCTAATTCTGTCTGCTACATGCTGGCTACTAAACGGCCTAAGAGATTTCATGAGAGTATGGTTTGAAAGGATAATATCACTGAATTTCAGTTTGCAATTGTAATTTAAACAGATATTCAGTACTTGAAATGCTTGGATATCTTGCTGTGTAGTTTCTTTCTGTTTGTCTGCTTGACTATTGGAAACAGTCCACCCATGTTTGTATCCTATTTTATTTACTGTTTGATGCTTTCATGTAGCCTGAGAGGATTTATTTTTACCCCAAATGTTTGGATATTTCTTTGTATGCATACTCACATTTACTTGTTAATTAGTCTTTTAGAATGCTTGGTATTTTTCAGTTGTTATTTATTGGGTTTAGGTGATGTAATAATGTTGTAGAAACATGACTGACAAAACCCAAGTGACCATTGGCACTGCCATGGCTAGTGAATAGTCTGAGTGAGCAGCCTGGGAAAAGCCTGTAATAACAAATTTGCTTGCACAGCCTCCTTCCATCCTTCCCCTCCTCCTGCCAGTAATTGCAAAGAGCCCAAGAATTTGTAAATTAGGATCTATTAAAAAAAAAAAAATTCCCAACAGTAACAGGGACAAAATTTGAAGCAAATACAAACAGCAAATAATTCAACTATCTCTTTAATGCCAAACTGGAAGTCAAAATCTGGTAACCTCCGAGAAGATGAATGGAAACTCTGATTATCATTAGGAGGCTTGTTTGCAAGCTACTAGGTCTAAAATTCATCAGGAAATGTTGATTTATTGTATAGCCATTAGTACAGGCAATTTTTAGTTCTCTATGTTATCAGGCTCTATATATCCTTGCATTTTTTAGCTCTTATAGGGAACCTATATTGAAGCCATGTTTATTTTGTCTGCTGCTGCTGCAACAGTTTATTAGTTGCATTCCCTGATGTATTTATTGGTTTAGCTTGGAGTGAATGGTTTTGATTTGAGTGCTGTGTGATGGCACAATTACATAGTAAAACACACAGGAAATTATTTGCCATTTACTACCAGACTTTGGATACGACTGTTGTAATTTACTGAACTTCATTTTTATGGTTTCTCAGGTCACCAGTGAATAGTTTGCTAATGAAAAAATATTTTCCCTGGCTCTATAGAACAGCAGCAGTTTAAGGTCATGAAAGAAACTTGTACACATAATCAAGAAAAAAATGGGAGAGGTTAAATTCTTCCCCATAAATGAATGAGAAAAATGTTCTAAGTATCATCACTGCTAATTTTGATCTGAATCTATGGCCCTCTGGATTAGCAGGAGATGACAGTCTTTGCCAAGGCATTTTTCTTTCCTTTAGGTTAACAACGTCAAGAAGAAACAAGTCAAAACAGAGATATGCATTGAAGAAGAAATCTTTCCACGATCTAGGCATTCAGCAGTTGTCAGCTCATATTCTTCACCCTTGGTGATCCTTCACCTTGGATGGTTCCCATTCTGAAGTTATTTCCTGTTGCTATAAATGTTCCCTTTCGTATTACAAGGAACATTTAAAAATCTGTGTGGGACTTAAGCTGCAAGTCATTTTGGAAAATGTGATTTGAGTTCAAGGGCCACAGGGGAACTCTTGGAGGTTCTGCCTTTGGGTGCTCATCTGTCCAGTCTGGTAGATATTTTGCAATGAAAAAATTGGAAACCCTCTGGAGCTCTCTTGTTTTCTATTGTGTCCTTCGGGTAATTCATCTCTACAATGGTCTTTTTAGTTCTTGTTTGCAAGTGGCTGTTACAGGCTATAAAATCTTTCTGTTTCTTCTGTCTCCGTGATATAAGTTCCTATGCATCTCAGAGATACAGTACTTTGCTCACTTTTATAGTCAAAATTGACATTTTACCTTAATCCCTTCAGGCAGAGTTTATCTGCAACAATCATCATGACATACTGTCCATAAGAGGGTTTAATGCAAATTTTTGTGCATAAATTAAACTTTGATTTAAAAGGGCACATGATTTTTTTCTGCAGTAAAACTCTATTTTGAGCTGTCAGACAGGAACTAGTATGCTTGAAGACACCAATTAGTGTAGTAATACTTATTCCTCTTAGAAGACACAGGAAGATCCAGGAGACACTCTGTGCAGTTAACACCCAGGGGAGGCCAGTAGTAGGGTGCTACTTGCTGACTTTCACTTAGGTGCTTGCAGGCAATTGGCCTGGATATCGTAGAGACATCCTAAAGTTGATTATGTGATTAGTACTGTCATCATCTCTAACGTGATGGGCTACCTGCAGACTGACTGTTGTGCAGGAGGGATGTGTGCATCCTTCATTCCCTTCCCCCTCTCCTGAATATTTCTTCTGTAGTACCATGTCTGGATTCCAGAACAAATTTCAAGTTGTGATGGGTTGACCCTGGCTGGATGCCAGGTGCCCACCAAAGCTGTTCTATCACTTCCCCCTCCTCAGCTGGACAGGGGAGAGAAAAAATATAACAAAAAGCTTGCGGGTCGAGATAAGGACAGGAGAGATCATTCACCAATTACTGTCACGGGCAAAACAGACTCAGTTTGGGGAAAATTAACTCAATTTATTACAAATCTACCGGAGTAAGGTAATGAGAAATAAAACCAAATCTCAGAACACCTTCCCTCCACCCCTCCCTGCTTCCCGGGCACAACTTCACTCACGGATTTCTCTACCAACCCCCCCAGAGGCACAGGGGGACGGGGATGGGGTTTACGGTCATCACACGTTATTTTCTGCCGCTTCACCTCCTCAGGGGGAGGGATCATCACACTCTTCCCCTGCTCCAGCGTGGGGTCCCACCCACGGGAGCCAGTCCTCCACGAACTTCTCCAATGTGGGCCCTTCCCACGGGCTGCAGTTCTTCACAAACTGCTCCAGTGTGGGTCCCTTCCACGGGCTGCAGTCCTTGAGGAGCACACTGCTCCAGCGTGGGTCCCCCACGGGGTCACAAGTCCTGCCAGAAAACCTGCTCCAGCGTGGGCTCCTCTCTCCATGGGGCCACAGGTCCTGCCAGGAGCCTGCTCCAGCGCGGGGTTCCCATGGGGTCGCAGCCTCCTTCAGGAACCCACCTGCTCTGGCGTGGGGTCCTCCCCAGGCTGCAGGTGGAGATCTGCTCCCCCATGGACCTCTCTGGGCTGCAGGGACACAGCCTGCCTCACCATGGTCTCCCCCATGGGCTGCAGGGGAATCTCTGTTCCGGCACCTGGAGCACCTCCTCCCCCTCCTTCTGCACTGACCTTGGTGTCTGCAGGGCTGTTTCTCTTACATGTTCTCACTCCTCTCTCCGGTGGCTGTTTCCGTCTGTCCCAGCTTTTTTTTTTCCTTCTTAAAAATGTTATCACAGAGGCGTTAACACTATCGCTGATCGGCTCCTCCTTGGCCGGTGGCGGGTCCGTCTTAGAGCCGGCTGGTATAGGCTCCCTCTCGAACACAGGGGAAGCTTCCAGCAGCTTCTTACAGAAGCCACCCCTGTAACCTTCCCCGCACCCGCTACCAAAACCTTGCCACACAAAACCAATATACAAGTGTTACTGAAAAGTCATATATTCTGTTAATAGATAATTAAGTAATAAGGCAGCAATGTTAACTAAATGTAATTCTGGGCTTTAATTGCTGACAACTATGTGTTAAAAAGTTTATTTTGAAACGTGAACAAAAAGCAATTGCAGAAAAAGTATTACTGTTCATTAAGAATATTGCTTTTACATACATGTAAAAAGTCACTGTCATAACCTTTGTGTTGATAAAGCAACACAGATAGCTTAGAATGAAAATGGTATCTTAAGTTTACCAGCAAGAATTCATTTCTTAGGAAACTTTCTTCTGGGAAGTTAAAGTAATGAAAAAATGTCCTTTTTTTTAATGTTAAGGGGTATGCGTATGTATTTAAAAATCTTATAACTTGTTTTCTGCGTGCTGCATCTTTAAATGTGCAGTGCATTGTTAAAAGAAAGTATAATTTCTGGGCCAAATTTAATATGTGGTCATATCCAAATGACCAGCTGCCACCTGAATGAGCTGCAGGTACAGGAATTGGCAGTCTGAATGACAGCCCTTTTGTCACTCTGAGATTACTGTGTCTTAACCCACACCACTCGGTGCCTGTTAGGATATTTGTCCATCTCTGTCATGGAATTTGACAGCTTGGGAGTTGAATGGCTTTTTTTCCGCTGATGTCTCTGAAGGACTCTGAGTGCCACATGTGCAGGTTATACGGAGTTATGTTGTGTGAATACTGACTTTTGCGGCTCTGTGTGGGAATGGAGTCAGTAAGTGAGGCATTGCAGCTGACTGATTCTTTGTCATGGAAGAAAAAAAATGAAAGCAAGCCAACCAGCTTGGTCCAGGCTGAGCCAAAAAAGCTGTAATTTTTCTCCCCTGAGAAACTGAAAAGTCATAAAATAGATATACCTTATTCAACCTCAAAATAGTACTTCATTCTGGACACCTGTAAGAAAAGAAAACAAAACCAAAGTGAATTAAAGGCTAGCTCTCATGATTTAAAATCACCCTTTTACCCTGTGGTTTGAGGGAACAGGTCATTCTCCTGGGGTGTGAGGACTCAGCTTGTATTCTCCTGTCTGCCCAAGCAGAGATCAGAGCCATCACCACTAGGCTGGAGTCTTCCTATGTCTTTTCATCCATGGTAATAACCGTGGTTGTATGGGATGCTGTCTAAATATCCTGTACAAATGGGAATGGCTCTCACAGGGAGGACAGAGCACTCTGGTCCAGGCTGTCCCCAGGTCCACCGCTTACAGGGCTCGCCTCCTTGGTTCGGGTGCCTGACTTGGGCATGAAAGAGTTGGTTTTCCTGCCTTTCAGGTGCCGCTGCCTCTGTGCCAGTTTCCATTCACCCAAGATCTCTGGCCTGGTTTTAGCAGATGGGTACTGTTGGTTTTTTATGGGTCTGAGAAAGATGTTTAACAGAAACATGTATTTTGTTTTCCTATTTCTTCATCTGAGACTGAGCACAAGAAGCCTGATTTCATCTGACCTTTTAAACATATGATATACTTCTATCTGTATTCTGGTTTTGGACAAGTTTGTTTAAAATCAGTTGTGTTCAGGTGTTCAGAAAACATGTATCCACTGAAGAATGTAATCTTTAAATTTCAGCCATTCTCTGATTCCTGTGCCCCCCAATCTTAAGTAATCCTACCAGTCATTCCAGCACAGCCAACCCACTTCTGCAGATACAGCTACCAATTTCTGCTGTGTCTTTTCTTTCTACCAATTGCAAAGTTGCTGTAGAAGCTACAGGAGATGAATATCAGTATTTTGTGAATGGGAAAAAATTGTTGTGTTTTCTTACATCCACTGAAAGAAAAGTAACTGCATCAGGTACTTCACCAGTTGATATCAATTTTTAAATTTTTTTTTAGGCTTTGGCTCATCTGCACTTAATAGACTATATAGGAGAGCAGACAGCTTTGTTAATAAAGGTATGTTTAAAATATTTATAGTTTTTTTTAACAAGTAAGGAGAATAATTTTACTCTGATAGAATAATGCATAATACTTTCATTCTGAATTTGATGTTAATGATTGCATTCCTGCATCAGCAATATCAAGAAAGCATGTCATACTTTGGCATGCGTGATATTTAATACGTATGTATCTTGTCCACAGCCAGAATAAACATAGCCACAGATGCAAAAGGGAAGCCTTTTCTGTAGTCTAAAAACCCCAAAAATACAAAGGTGAAAAAAGTATAAACAGTTAAAGGTGAAAACTCACAGTCATGCAGTGTATTTCTTGTGTGAAATCTGAGTATTAGAAATATCGGTCTTTGCATTTCTATTTGTTCAAATTTTCTTGGAAAAAGAATGGTAATTGTGTTACTAAATGTTGGGCTATTTTCTTTAAGATGCTTTACCTATCTCAGAGCCTAAGGGAATAATAAATGTTGATAAATTAGAACTGTGAAGAATGTGCAATTATGCTGGGGACACACACACAGAGCAACACTGATCTCATCAAAGTTGTAATTTGAACTCTCACAATTCCAGGTGGTTCCTGAGGACCAGCGCTTGGCAGTGGCCATCATTTTAGTGCTCTGGGTGTCTGCCTTGGCCTCCTCCGTGATCGACAATATCCCCTTCACAGCTACAATGGTAGGGTCTGTGTGGCACTTGCACATCCTCCTCCTGGTACTGACAAGTGAGCTGAGCTTGCTGATTATGATTTGCTTTTTTTTGATCTCTGCTGTGTAGTTTACTTTATCCCCTGAGACTGAATCATTATTACAAGCTTATTCATACCATTTAGGCATCTAACTGGCCATTGCTGCTAGCAGCCACAGTTAGCTGTGGAACTAGAGGCACTGTTTTGGCTGCATTTTTGCACTTTCCCTCTTATATCCACATCCGTAGCTGAAAAGTAAAATTGTCTTTTTGATGGAAACTGTCACTATCTATCCGCTGCTATTGATGTTTTCTCTCTATGTGCTGCATAGTTACACTACTGCTTTTTTAACACCTGAACCTTTTATTGGTACCTTACGTAATTAGTTTTAAACCCAGCAAATAATGTTAAGCATAACAAATGCTTATCAGCAGCTGAGTTTTAATATCAGAAAAGTATCAAATTATAACAAATTAGGGCATGATCAGATAGGTTTATTCAATCAAATTCTCTGTTTAAAGTGCAATAATCCCTTCATTATACCATTGGGATGATTCATTGTTACAGCTTGTTCTCAGCTAAGTATAGTTTTTCTGCACCTTTTTTCTTGCATTGTTATTGGATTGTCACGTCCACCCTTAACCTGTGTCAAGGTTTAAGACTCTTCTTATGGGGCATATGGCAGATTGGACAAATTTGCGACTGCTCTATAATTATATGTTAATATGGTATTTTGGTTTGATTACCGTGGTGTTTCCTGAGGAATGATACTGATTTAATAACAACAGACTGCAAGTCACAGGCATGAAGGGAAAGATTGGTTCAGGATGAGTCACCTCCCAGCAAACACTTGAGGAGTATTAAACAATAATGCAGAAATCTTAGTTTAGCCTCATATCCAGCTAGTCTATAAAACTGGCTTGGAGCAATACCAAAAAGCACTTGTATGCACAGGGACCAAAAGGTCTTTTACAGGTTTTGAGAGAAACCCTCTTTTAAAGGAGTGTCTTTTGTGGAATGGGATTGAAATGCAGGCATCTTTTGGGATGCCTGAAGACCACTTGTTTTGTATCTTTGAGGGAGGGAAATACAGATGGGCAGGAAAGGATCCTTGCCAACATTTTAGACATTTAAAATGTGTATCTTTTTCATTCTGTTCTGGACTGAACCTAAGAGACTGCTACAATTTTTTTTCTTTAAAAATAGGCAGAGAGAGGAGGCAGAAAAAAAGAAAAATGCAGGCACATTCTCACCTATGCAAAAGCAGTCATTAGCTGAGGTGTTAAGATGTTAAAGTGTTATATGGCAGACTAAAGTCAAGACCTAGCACCATCTCGCTCAGTGAATGGGCTTGCACTTTGGTCTTTGTCATTCTACATTAGAAAATATTTACAGAAAATTCCTAAGTAACTAAGGCCCAAGTTCTTATGTAAGATTGTATAAAATTTAATTTAAAATTCTTTTTGTTTCTTTGGCACTTGGTTCCTACTGTTAAAACAAGCAATATTTTGTTTTGGAAGGCTATTTATCACTATATATGTCAAAGTTACAAACTTCTGATGAGGAGTATTACATATACTGAGCCCAGGTCTTTTGTAGAATGGCTTTTCACTGATCGGGGTCTGAGTGTGCGTGTGTAATAAACACACAGTGCAACAGGTATTTCTTAGATCTCCTTTTATTTATTGACTTGCTGTTTACAGAATCAAGCTGTAATTATTAATAGCAGATAACCATCCACACAGCAAATTCACTTATTCAGCCACATAGTTCACTCACACATTCACAGTTACCCTGTGGGAGCAGCAACTTGGAGGTCAACCCCAAGTGTGTACTCAGAAGATCATACTGACACTCTTCTATATATAAGTTTGGTTGCATATGCCCTAGTGATATAGGAGTATGGGGCACCTGTTATGATGTAGCCATGAATGATCCTATCCTTTCCTGGTAAAAGGTTCCAGCTTCACAGCTGACCCTGCATTTATAATAATGGAAGACAGATATATTGAGTCCCTCCAGGGCTCCATAAGTCTCCTTCATTCGTGAACAAAGGTCTACATGACAACGGGGCCATCTCTCTTGTGATTTTTGTAGTCATAGACTTGATGGACCAGGTACTGGGTAGGCTTGTGGGACCCATCAAGTTCCTTCCATTTTTTGAACTCAGAGATACAAAAAATCTGGGTGGTTTCATAAATATCAGCTATATGTTCTGACTGAGCAAAGAGTATTTGGAGGATGGCATCAGACCTCTGCCAATAGTGGATTTGCTCACCCCAAGGTAGTTAACCACTGACCAATACAATTGAGGGGAAGCCAGGCTCCCAGGGTGACAGCTTGTTTGACTTGTACAGGGGTAGGGATTCCTGAAATATCATGCAGAGATGATGAAAGGCTTGGTGGCAGCTCACAGTCAAGGACACCAATGGTGTCTCTTCTGCATTAGAAAGGTGAGTATACCGTGATTTTTGTCCCATATGCCAGGGATGAGATAGTTGTGCCAGTCCTAGCTCTTCTGGTTGTGAGCCTCCAGCTGACTGTGGTCAAAACTACTGTGATGGCAAGGGTGTCTAGAAAGTCATACTGCTCTGTTCCTTCAGGGGTGGGGAGGTGCAAGAAGACAGGCGTCAGTTCCTTCATGGGATGTTCCCAACACTGCCTCTGTGTTGCTGGATAAGGTTTTCCATTCATGCCCTGCAACACTATGCAGTGCGTGTTGTTCAGACTTGGAGCAGGGAGATGGGATGGGCTACACACACTCAGTGTAGTAACTCAGAAATGGCATGAGAGTGGACAGAAGTAAGGGTTCCAATGTGAGGTGACAGACCCCACTGGGCTGAAGACAACATAGATAAGAGACTCTGCTCCAACTCTTTCAATCTTATTACACCATGTGACTTTCCCATGTAGAAGTAGCCCAAATAATTGATATGTAGAGTATTTTAACTCAGGACCTGCCTGAGAAATGGAAGAAATATGGAATTCCACTATAGCCTGAGGCTTGACTTACAAGGCACGTAGCTGGAGGGAAGAAAAAGAGAAAAACCTGCAGATAGCTCTGTAACTGTGATACTGTGTTTCCTTAAAGCAAATCAAGTTGAAGTATGGTTGTCCAAATTTTCATTTCAGCTTCTTTGTACTAGTGGGATAATCAGATTCATAATGACTTGCTTTGTATATAAAAAAAAATAAAAATGGAAAAAATGTGAATGCCTAATTAATGGATCTTGAGACTAAAAATTTCACTTTATCTGTATTTGGATAAAGCTGACTGGTCTATTTTAAGTTTCAGATTTGACAGCATTAAAATTTAGGCTGACTGATTCTTACCTTAACAGGATTGGAAAGTGGAAGCTGTAGATCAATATTTAAAAAAGGTAATTAGAATATGAATATATCTGAGCCAGCATTACAAAGAATTCTAGGAAATAAACTTTTATTAATTGAAGTAATGAAAACAGATAAGGAAAATGGTTTCCTAGAAGAAAATCTAAGCATTTTCAAGAGTTTATAAGTATCTGTGCAGACAAATTAGGATTCTTGCTTATCCTAAAACATAAACAAAACACATTATCTGCAGTATTAAGAACAAAATCTAAATATTTTCAGTTACTTTAAGATGGAAATATTTTAAGGTGCAAAATATTCATGTGTCGAAACATTTTGAACACATTGATACTCTTCAGCAGCCTTCAGCACCAGCATCATGGAGAAGACTTCTCCTTTACTAAAAAATTCTGAAATTACAAAAATCAGATTAATTTATTATTTGAAGCACCTTACCCTGAAAATACCTTTTCAGTGCAACACCATTGTTGGTCAAATTCTTCTTTGTTCTAGATAAGAGTAAATCTGGCATAACCCCACCATCAAAAATGTCAGTAGCTATTGGAATTCGTGTACTGAGGTCACTAAACTGAAATCTCTGCAAAGAGCTCAGAACACAGCAAGAATTTTATGCTACAGAGGATCCTGTAGAAAGATAATTGTGTACAGTAAACACTGGAATCAGTTTCTGAGGGCACTTAGCTCTTCGTAGGTTGATTTACTGTTTCTGTCTTGGTGAAATTCTGTTTGTGTTGAACTAAAGTAAAGCCTTGGAGCCACACAATTGCTTGTTTCATATAATTTGTCCTGAATGCAAAGATCATGAGCTGCCCTAAAACAAAATGAGGAGATTGAAACTTGCTTGATGAACCATAATCCCAGGACATTTCCCTTCTCTTTAAGCATTGGAAAGTGAAGATCCAGCTCCCTAATTAAATAGAAGTTTATACGAGTGAGTGTTTATTGCACTTCATTGCATAAGCATGCCTGGCAATTGTGATAGCTGTCTGCAAGTGACAGAAAAATCGATCATTTCTTGTCAATATGTAAAAAATGTACTATAGCAAAATATTTTAGAATTATAGCATAGAATAGACTATTTCAGTTGGAAGGGACCTACAACGATCATCTAGTCCAACTGCCCAACAGCAAATTCAGGGCTGACCAAGTTAAAGCATGTTATTAAGGGCATTGTCCAGATGCCTCTTAAATGCTGACAGGCTTGGGGCATCTCTCTAGGAAGCCTGTTCCAGTGTTCGACCACCCTCTTGGTAAAGAAATGCTTCCTCAAGTCCAGTCTGAATCTCCCCTGTCACAGCATTCCCACGTGTCCCATCACTGCATCCCAGGGAGCAGGGATCAGCACCTCCCTCTCCACGTCCCCTCCTCAGGAAGCTGTACAGAGCAGTGAGGTTGCCTTCAGCCTCCTCTTCTCCGAACCAGACAAGCCCAAAGTCCTTAGCCGCTCCTCATAGGACATTCCTTCCAGCCCTTTCACCAGCTTGTTGCCCCCTCTGGACACATTCAAGGATTTTTAAGATCCTTCTTAAATTGTGGGACCCAGAACTGCACACAGTACTCCAGGTGAGGCTGCACCAACGCTGAATACAGCAGGATAATCCCCTCTTTTGAGCGGCTGGGCATGTTGTGTTTGATGCCC